AAAGTGGATTTTATCATGTCAAAATTCCGCAACTACAGGTCCAGACTCTTCAGGGAGACAGACATAATCCTTGAATGTAGTGGAAGTAATAATTATTTTACTAAAATGCATTCCTTAAATAAGTCCTTTGTACTTAGAATTTTAATAACACATCTAATAACAGCTGATACAAAAAACCCTTATCCCACACAAGGAACAGGCATAAGGATCCTGGATTTCAGGGCTGGGCTACATACTTTTTTTTTTTTTTTAAAGCATTCCTTTAATCGCAGCACTTGGTAGGCAGAGGCAGGCAGATAGATCTCTATGAATTCCATGCCAGCTAGGTTGACATAGCAAGTTTCAGACCATCCAGCCAAAGCTACATAGTGAGACCCTGGTCTAAACAAATCAAATCAAAACAAAACAAAAGAGTTAATTTTTAAAAAATGTTTTAAAATTTTATGTGCATTGGTGTTTTGCCTACATGTAGATCTGTGTGAGGGTGCCAGATCCCATGGAACCGGAATTATAGAGAGTTGTGAGCTGCCATGTGGGTACTAGGAACTGAACCCAGGTCTTCAGGATGAGCAGCCAGTGCTCTTAACCTCTGAGCCATCTCTCTAGCTCCCAAAAGAGTTAATTTAAGATGTGATAATGATAGTATAATAATAATAGGATATTGTGTTCAATGGGAAACACATACTGAAGGGTTTAGGAGTGGGGTATGATGTTTTCAGATTTTTCAAGTGCCTCATAAAATGTGTTTGTGTTTGTATAAATGTATCAAGAAAATTGGGCTTGGTATGATGGTACATATCTTTAATTTTTGTGCTCAGAGACAGAGGCAGGAGGATTTCTTCTAGTTCAAGGCCAGCTTGATACATAGTGAGTTCCAGGACAGCCAGGGCTACATAGTGAGACATTTAAAAAGTTGGAAAGAATTTTAATATTTTAATCAAATGTAGACAGCATTTTGGATTTTTTAGACTCTTTTGTGTTCCAGGATTTTGTTAAAGTCTTTTTTCTTGGTGATATTCTGTTATGCTGAGATGATAGGATCTCAGTGGAGCAGCAGAAGGTGAAAACTGTTGTGGAATATTTGTTTAACTATATAAAGATGTGTTGCATTTGTTTATGTTGCAGAATATTTGTTTAACTATGTAAAGATGTATTACATTTGTTTAATTATGTAAAGATGTGTTGCTGTTTTACCTTGCCTGTCCAATTGGCCTAATAAAAAGCTGAACAGCCAATAGCAAGGGAGGAGGTATAGGTGGAATTTACAGGCAGGGAGAATAAGTAGGAGGAGGAATTTAGGCTCAAAAGAAAGGAAGAAAGAAAAGGAGATGCCAGGGATGCCAGGAGCCAGCCAGCCCAACATGGAGGAAGCAAGAAACTAGGACATACGGAATGAAAGAAAAGTAAAAAGCTCAAGGCAAAACGTAGATGAATAGAAACAGGTTAAATTAAGTTAAAAGAGCTAGTGGGAAAGGCCTAAGCTAAAGCTGAGCATTCATAATTTAAGTCTTTATTTGCGAGCTGGTTGGCAGCCCAAAGAAAATGTCAACTATGGAAAACAATGGCTATTTAAGTTTTTTTTTGTTGTTGTTGGATTTTTTGTTTTGTTTTTAAAGTGTGTGTGTGTGTGTGTGTGTGTGTGTGTGTGTGTGTGTGAGATGTCCATATGTGGGATGGTGAAGACACACATGTGGAAGTCAGGGGACAACTTTGTGGAATCATTTCTCTCCTTTCACTTTTATGTGGATTTAAAGGATCCAAGTCAGATGGTTAGGCTTTTCTGGCAAGTACTTTACCTGCTGAATCATCTCTGTCCATTACCTTGAACTTTTATTCTCCTGTCTCCATTAAAGGCTATGTCCAGCTTATACCACACTCCATACTAGTGATAGAACTCAGGGCTTCATTTATGTTAGACAAGCAGTCTACCAACTGAGCCACATCTGTAGCTGGATTTCATTCTTCATGGCTGTATAGTAATCCATCACGTGTATGTATACCACATTTTCTTCATAGGTCTGTTGATGAACATTTAATTTGAGTCCATAACTTGTTATTGTGAATAGTGCTGTGATCTCTGTAGTATACTGACTTTGAGTCTCTTGGGTATACAGACCTAGGCATGATGGAGAGGTTTTGTTAGATTAGATGTTTTTCTGGCTTAACGTTTTTGAAAAACATCCAAACTAATTTTATATTGGCTGCACTAATTTACATTCCCATCAACAATGCTGTCACATTAATTTGACAGAGAGAATTGTATAAACATCTGTTCACCCAAGATAGGATACCAGTAACAGACCAAAGAAATGATTCTACCCACATCTAGGTTGGTGGACCAGTCTAAACCATTGTGGTTACTTACAGGAGCATAGGTGATGGGTTATATACATGAGCAGCGTTCAGGGTGGCTATACCAGAGAAGAAAAGTGTTTTTTTCCCAGCAACTATTGTTGCTCCCTTAACCTCAGGGAGAGTGATGTCTCAAGTACCTACCTTGTTGAGCACCCCATGTTCTTCAAGAGGGAATACTAATGGGCTCAACCTCGTGGAGTCTTGTGTAGGTGATTGTAGTTCAAGACTGTAAAGGTCATATCATGTCTGGAGGAATGTATAAGTAAGTGGGTGCAGGGGATAGTGGAAGGCCCTTGTTAACATTTGTTGTTTTCTTGGTGATAGCTATTCTGAGATGAGATAGGATCTCAGTGGAGCTTTTCTTTGAGACTGTCTCTCATGTAGCCCAGGTTGACTTGGAAGTGATTGTATAGCAAGGCTGGCCTTGAGCTCCACATCTTGGTGCTTTCACCGCCTAAGTGCTGGAATTCCAAGTGTGTGCCACCATATCCAGCTTCAGCAGAGTTTTGATTTGTGTTTCCTTGATGGCTAAGAAGCTTTAACATTTTTCCTATATTTATTGGTTATTGTACTTCTTATTTTGAAAACTGTTTATTTACCCATTTTATTGATTGATTATTCTTTTGTTTGAATTTTTAATTCTTTATATATTCTAGCTATTCAATTCCCCACTGAAAGGCTGCAGAGGTGGCTAAGTCATTAAGAGCACAAACTGCTCTTGCAGAGGATCCTACTTTGGTTCCCAGTTTCCATGTTGACAGCTTACAACCACCTAGAACTCCCCTTTAGGGAGAGCTGACACCTCTGGCCCTTGTGGACACCTACACTTGTGCACATACACATGCACAGACATAATTAAAAATAAATCTTTAATTCCCCATAGAATGAATAGTTAGACTTTTCTCACGTTCTGTAGATTATCAGTTCACTCTGGTAATTGTTTTCTGTTTTGCTACAATCCTAGTTGTTATTTTTGCTATTATATCCAGGGCTAACAGAGCCCTATTCAGAAAGTCCTTGCCTATCTTTGCAGTTTGAAGTATTTTCCAACCTTTTCTTCTATAGCAGTTTAGAGTTGCAGTTGTTACATTAAAATTTTTGATCCATTTTGAGCTGACTCTTTGGGGGTGGGGTGGTGAGAGGGATCTAGTTTAGATCTCCCGTGTGTGTGTGTGGAAATGCACCTTCCTCAGCACCATTTGTTAAAGAGGCTTTTTTCGGCACCTCTCTTAAATCAGGTGGCCATGGTTGCATGGTTTATTTCTGGGTCTTCTGTTTATCCTGTTTCTCTGTGTGTCTGTTTTGTGTCAGTGCCATGTTATTTTTGTTAGAATGGCTCTGTCGGGTATTTGAAGTGTGATGCATCCAGCATTGTTGTTTTTGTTTAGGATCACTTTGGCTTTTCTGAGACTTTTGGGCTTCTATATGAATTCTAAGATGTTTTTAAGCTCTATGAAGAATGCTATTGGACTTTGGATGTTGATTACATTGAATCTGTAGCTTGCTTTTGGTGGTATGACCATTTTAGCAATTCTCCTGATCCATAAATGTGAGAGGTTCTTCTATCTTTTAATGAATTCAGTTTTTTTTCTTTTAAAAAATATTTTATGGGGGACTGGAGAGAAGGCTTAGCAGTTAAAAGCACTGGCTGTCCTTCCAGAGAACCTGGGTTCAATTCCCAGCACCCACATGGCAGCTCACAACCGTCTGTAACTCGAATTCTAGGGGGTCCGATTCTCTCACACAGACATACATCAAGGCAAAACACCAATGCACATAAAATGAAAATAAATTATAAAAAATTTAAAAAATCTTTCATTGTAGATGTTTCACTTTTTGGTTAGGTTTATTTCAAGGCATTTTTTAAAAAGCTATTGTGAATAGGTTTGTTTAATTTTCTCAGCAAATTTATTAGTAGTGTATAGAAAAGCCACTGATTTTTGTATCGTGCTGTTTTGCTAAAAGTGTTTATATGAGCTGAGAGTCTTCTTTTTTTTTTTTTTTTTTTTTAAGATTTACTTATTTATTATGTACACAGAAGAGGGTGCCAGATCTCATTACAGATGGTTGTGAGCCACCATGTGGGTGCTGGGAATTAAACTCAGGACCTCTGGAAGAGCAGTCGGTGCTCTTAACCACTGAGCCATCTCGCCAGCCCTTGAGAGTCTTGTAGTAGAGACTTTAGGCCTTCGACGTATAGAATCATATCATCTGCAAAGAGGGATAATTCTTGTTTCCTTAATTTATCTCGTTTTCTTCTTTTACCTGCCTTTTAGCCAAGATTTCAAGCATTATACTGAATAAGAGTGGTGAGAGTTGGTCCCTTCTTGTTTTAGACTGGGAACACTTTCAGTTTTGCATCATTCATGTTGACTGTGGGTAGTTGACTATAGTCTTTTTTATGTGGAGATACAATTTTTCAGTTCTTAGTTTCTTTGGAGTTATAAAAGGATGTTCAATTTTGTGAAGGGCCTTTTCTGCATCTCTTATGATGACCGTGCAGTTTTTGTCCTTGTTCCATTATTCTTACCTTTGTATGGTGAACAGGGCTGATAGAACAAATTATACACACACACACACACACACACACACACACACACACACACGTATATGTATACTCACATGTGCACATATATATGGGATTTATTAGAATAGTTTATACTCTGTGGTCCAGCTAGTCTAACAATGGCTGTTTTCTCACAGGAAGGCCAAAAATCTGGTAGTTCTTCAGTCCACAAGGCTGGATGTTTTAGCTGGTCTTCACTCTGTGTTGGAATCTGGAAGAAGTGGATTTTTGTATCATCAGTGCCTCAGCAGGAGGAGAGATGAATTTGCCAGTGAGGGCAAGAGTAAGGGCAAGAGTAAGGGCAAGAGTAAGGACAAGAGTAAGGGCAAGAGTAAGGACAAGAGTAAGGACAAGAGTAAGGGCAAGAGTAAGG